TTTGGCTCTTCTTGTGCTCTTTGTGCTGGCTGCATGAGGGGAGCAGATTTGCTGCACTACACCCTGCCTTCCCTTGGAGACAGCGAACCAAAGACTGAAACCTCTGAAAGGGTAATTGTCAGATATTTTGTCCCAGCAACACATAAAATGGATGAATATACCCCTGTTTTATATTTGCTTAATGCTTAATACTTTTCAGGCCAGGGATTTAGCTCAGTGGTGCTGCTGCCTTCCTTGCAAGCGCAAAGACCGCAGTTCAGTCCCCAGTACAAAAGCAAAACAAACAATACTTTTCATAGTGGTTCTGAATATATTTTATTCAGTTTTTCTCAACACCTGTGTGAAATAGATATGGCAAGGAGAGAGTCTGTCCTTCCCACCCCTTTTTCTTGGTGCCAAAAGTTTACTTGAAAAGTGAGGTAAATGAGTATGGGAGAAACCAGCTCTGAAGAGCGAACTTAGGCCAAACAAAGAGAAAAAGGGGTTAAAAGCAAAAATACTGTATAACTCACACTGATAGCTGATAATCCTACTTTAGAGATTAAGTTCTTGATGCTAAGACCAACTAAGGTGTTTACTCAATTCATATGCCGTGATAAATCTGGAACTTACACCTAGGACTCTAGAATTCCTAGTTTGTTTTTTTCCTGTTTCATGCAGATTATAGTAACAGATTCAGGAGCAAAGCATACAAAATCATTAAGGCGAGTAATAAGTTGAATATAAACTATCCTTAACTTTAATTTTTTTATTTTTTGGTATTGAGGATTGAACCCAGGGCCTTACCCACACTAAGCAGTCGCTCTCCCACTGAGCTACACCCCAGCCCCACAGTGTTTTAACATTCATGTTCCATGTGACTGTGAATAGCTTTTGACACATCTCACCTGAATACCATTGACATGATTATGTAATAGCAGTGAAGAATGAATAATGTGCTGGGTAAGATAGAAAATGAGGCAGTGGAGGGTTGTTTACTGCTGGTATTAAATTAAAGTTCTTAGTTTAATAGCTTCAATTTTGTAGTTTGGATTAGAAATGGAGTAGTTATTTCTTTAAGCTCAACATACCCCTGTGTTCCAGTACTGTTCTGAATGACATTTTAAGAATCTCTGCAGGAGGCATAATTAATGTGAACATGTGAAAGGATTTTTGTTGTTAAGTGTTCTTTTCTGCCTTTTGGAAGGAGAGTGAGAGGGTTAGGGATTAGGTGTTGCAGTGTTAGACAAGTGATTTGAATCACTGAGAATTTTCTACTTACTGTCATTAAAATAATCTTATTTAAAAATTTTTAGTACATGCTTCAGTACATAATGTTTACATTTCTTGTGTGGAGTTGGTACATGTATAGAATATGTCTTAATTTCATTTTTTGTCCTTTTTCCCCTCCCCTTAATTTTAGATAGTATTTTAAAAAGCCAGAATGATCTTTATTGTGAATTTTTTTTTAACTTACATATTTTAAAATTTCTGAAGCCTCAATGTCTAGGGGAAGATGATCCTAGTAGACTTTTCCCATCTAGCACCAACAATAAAATGCTTTTCATTTATTTTATTTTATCTTAATACTTATTTTGTATGGTTTCTTTTCATGTGGTACTAGGGATTGAACATGGGACCTTGTGCTTGCAAGGCAGGCAGCAGAACCACTAAGCTAAATCCCTGACCCTGAATATTTATTTAAGCCTTACAATAATTTCTAAATTACATATCAATCCCTATTTAACTCCTCACCTGCTTAAGCATCCAGTAAAATCGATACTGAAAGATGTATACCATGTGTATCTGGTTTGAGTATCCCTACTATCCTAGTTTTGAGCAATAAAGTAGTGATTATAAAGGTGTGACTTATACCTGTGCATCTCTGTGAAGAAAAAAACGTTGAAGGGGCACAAAACATACTTTGAATGAGGTATTTTTGACTGTGATCAAATCACCTTATGAAGTTGACTCATAAAACATTGAAAGGAATTTTCAATTGTTCTAAATTGCAAACTGACAGTCACCACTGATCAGCATCTTTGGAAAGATTAATGGAGCATCTCTTTCTGTTTAGGGCATATATGTCAATTTTAAAGTTCTAAAATGTATGCACTTTGGTATAGTTCAGTTTTTACACCTTTGGGGTATGGATTTTTTTCTTGGATTTATGGAAACATTACTTTCTTTTTAGAGCAGGAGCTTTCTCAGAATATCTTCTGAACTTTGCTAGCATTTGTGAGATAGCCTGATAAAAGAATGACTAAATGTGATCATTGAACACTTGCAGTGTGGCTGGTGTGAATAAGAAACTAAATTTTTAAACTCTAATTGTAGTTAGTTTAAATTGTTACATATATTAATTGACTACCGTATTGGGTATTACCATTCTAGAAGATTAGGCGTAGAAGAAAAAGTTAGTAAACAAAATAATTTCATGTAATGATTTAAATTGAGAAGGAAGAAAACAGATGATGAAATGTAATTAGAGGAGTATATTAGATGGGTGAGTTTAGTTGAGTAGGCATCAGTAAATTAAACTGAGTGAATTATAAAATTACAGTTTTTAAAAACTTTGCTACTTGGTAGTTTGGAAACACTGATGATCTAGTGATTTCCTTTGGAAAACAAATCCCAAATCTCATCATAAGCCCTTATGTTTCAATCTTTTTATTAACTGCAAACATTTTTCTTCTAGACGTGAATTGTCATCTCCAGTTCCTATTGGTGACACCTCAACATTGGGAGGTATGCTTTTGTGCTTTTATTCACTTTTCCTTTTAAGTTATTTGTGGTTTAAGAAAACCTTTAAGCAAGAGTATTTTTTCTCTGCACATTTTAAAAATATCATAAATAAAAATATATATTTTTCAAGAGTCTCAAGAAAAAGTATTTGTTTTTTACTTATTTTATGGCATTGTGTTGTGAATTAACAAATCTTTGTTAATTATATTGCAAATCAGAACACTGCTTAAAAATGAATGGATGGACCAGGTATGGTGCTGTGCCTGCCTTACAAGCTCAAGGTCCTGAGTTCGATCCCTGGTACCAGTGGTGGTGGGGGAATGATGACCTAAGGAATTATTTTAAGTCTTATGTCAAAAGATGCAACATTTCTGGTACTAATTGTTTGTTGTTTGTCCTATAGAGTTTCCCAGAGTAAGAATTTTTTTCTAGTTGCATTTTGTAATGTAGTTTAATATGTACCTTTGACCTTTGTATGCCTTATGAATTGGAGGATTTTAAAAAAAATTAATTATAAAATACAAACTTTTTTGTATTAGAAATTTCAAACATATACAAAAATAGAATATCATGATGTGGTCCAATTTTAATTATTGTCAAAACATAGCCAATCTCTAACCTTCACCCACTTTTCCTCTATAGTATAGTTACATGAATATAGAAACTTTAATTTTGTACTCCCAGTGTCTAGCACACAGTGGATGCTCAAACAGTGCTTGTAGAGAGATATGAGTACTTATTGCTTTGAGAAGACCCTTTGCAAGTGTGTCTTGAGGTTTAAATAGACTGAATTTCCAGTATGAAAAAGCAAAGGACTTTTAAGAGTAGTTTTTGAGGTCAGTTCCTAATTTTTTTGGTATGAATTCTGACTTACTCAGGGATTGAATTCACAGATGTGCTTTTATTTTCTGCTTAGGTGCTATTCTCAGTGTTCCATATTCAGGAGTGTCTTCCTATGAAGGTGCTTCAGAGAGCAGCTTGCAAACCTTGAAGGAAAGTGTGAGTCATGCTGTTTTGCCACTTAGTTTCTAACATGGAGGGCAGGAGTTTAATGGAGTTTATATTTCACTGATGGACTACATAGGTTTTTGTGTGCTGCCCTGCTCTAAAAATGTCATAAATTCCAGAACCAGTGTATTAAAAATCTGATATTTCTTGGAGAACCGAATAAATCTGCTCTTTTGGTGAGGATTTGGTATGAGAGGGCTTCAAATTTTACATGAAATGACATGCAGGTTGGGAAACTCTCATTGTGATAAGCTTATAGTCTAATCTTTCATAAAACATGTCTTAGAAGGAAAGAATACAGATTCTTTAGAAGGAAAGAGTACAGGTTTTATGTAACAAAGTTTAAAAATTAACATGATTTTAAAAAACCATGATTTTTAAATGTATCATTTAAAAAATTCTAGATTGAGTTTATTGATACATTTTAGGTATACTTATGATCACATTCATCATTGAGAATTTGTACCTGTATATGATATATCTTATTTCTTATTTCTTCCACATTCCCCTGCCCTCTCTTTAACCCCTGCACCCATCCCTATATAAATAAGCTGTTTCTGTTTTTTCCTTCTTACCTTCAATTTTTTTCTTTCCCTTCTTTCCTTTCCCTTGCCCCTTTACCTAGTTCTCCTTTTCCTTTAAACATTTTCTTCCTATTTCACAATATCTATTATACATTTGATCTTCATTTACACCCTCAGTTTCTCATCCCAGAGAAACAATTCGGTATGTTAATATGTTTGTCCTATTTATTTCACTTATGAATATGGTCTCAAGGTGCATCCATTTAGCTATAAATGTTTCCAGTTTATCTTTATTTATGGATGAGTAGTACTCCATTTTATAAAAAACCACATCTTTATCCACTCACCAATTGATGAGCTTTTGGGCTGTTTCCAAGATTTAGCTATTACAAACTGCCACTATAAAAATGGGTGCACATATATTGCTATGGTATGATTCTTTTAATTCTTTTGGGAAGATACCCAGTAGGGGAATAGCAGGGTCAAATAAAACCTCTAATCCTAGTTTTTTTGAGGAATCTCCACACTGATTTCCATAGTGGTTGTACCAGTCTACATTCCCAAAACAATGAAGAAACGTTCCTTTCTCCCTACATTCCCAAAACAATGAAGAAACGTTCCTTTCTCCCCACAATCCAGCCAGCATTTGTTACTGGTTGATTTCATGATAACAGATATTCTTTTTGGAGTGAGATGGAAGGATTCTCAGTGTTGTTTTCATCTGCATCTCTTGAATGACCAGTGATGTTGAACGTTTTATCATGTGTTTATTTGCTATTCTTCTTCATCTGAGAAATGTCTATTCATTTCAGATGCTCTTTTTTGGTTTGGATCTTTAAATTGGGGTGGTCTGCTTTTAAAAATTCTTTATAGGACTCCTTTGAGGAACAGCTGGTAAAATTTTTCCCCATATTGTATGTAGGTTGTCTCTTCACCCTTGGTAGATAACCTTGATGGCTTCCTATGCTGTGCAGAAGCTTTTTAATAAGATGAGATCCCAGTTGTTGATTCTTTGTGCTAGTTCCCATGCTACTGAGATTTTGTTCATAAAGTCCTTTCCTGTGCCAGTGTCTTAACGAGTTCTACCTCACCTGTTTTCCATCTGGTTTAGTGTTTCTATTTTAATACTTAGATCTTTGATCCACTTTGATTTTAGTTTAGTATATGCTGAAAGATACAGGTCTAGTTTTAGTCTTTGGCAAGTTGAAACCCAGTTTTTACAGCACCATTTATTAAAGAGGCAATCTTTCCTCCAGTGAGAGTGTTTAGTGCCATTGTCTAAAATGAGGTGGCTTAGTATGTCTGGAGTTCTTTCTGCATCTTCTCCGTTCCATTGATTCTCAGGTCTGTTTTTTTGCCAGTACCATGCTGTTTTTATCACATTGGCTTTGTAATATAGTTTCAAGTTGCGGATTGTGATACCCCTTGCTATGTCTTTGTTGCCTAGACTTACTTTTGTTATTATAGGTCTCTTCTGGTTCCAAATGAATTTTTGTATTATTTTATCTAGTTCTATGAAATATACTGTTGGAATTTCAGTTGTGATTGCACTGAATCTGTATCTGCAGTTTTGAAAGTATGGCCATCTTCACTATATTGGTTCTTTGTACCCAGGAGCAAGGGATGCCTTTTCATTTTCTGATGTCCTCTTTGATCTCTTTTTTTCAAAGTGCTTTAATCTTCAGAGTAGTGGTCTTTGATTTCTTTTGTTAGATTGATTCTTAGGTATTTATATATATATTTTGGGTGTTCTTGTTATAGGAGTTCTTTCTCCAATTCCTCTCTCAATGAATCTATTATTTGTTTACAGGATGGCTATTGATTTTTGCGTATTGACCTTGTATCAAGATACTCTACTGAATTTGGTTATTAAGTCTAGAAGTCTTTTGGGGAGTTTTTGGGATCTTCTATTTAGAGTATGATGTTATCCTAAATGCACCATTATTAGTAGGAACTAATAAACAACACTAAGTCCTATTGCTGAGTTTTTATTGTAAAAAATGACATAATTAAGTACAAAATTACACATTACCCAGGTATATAGAAGCAGTTTATGAGGAATTTTATTAAGTTCTGCATTTAAAAATTTTGCCATTTTTTGGACCACCTATAAATTTTTTAAATTATCCTGTTATTTAAATCTAAATTCAGTTCTGTATTGAGAGGGTTGTAGGTTTTTATTTTGTTAACTTTTCCCTTTTGTTTTTTGCTACTAAAAATTCAACTATCATTTTTTTTTTTTTTGGTACTGGGGATTGAACTTGGAACCTTTTGCTTGCTAGGCAGGTGGCGGAACCCTGAGCTAAGTCCCCAGCCCCTCATTTTTTGAACTATCATTTTGATTATCACTCTCTTGTGGTAATTTGATTGTTTTCTTTGGCTGCTTTTAAGATCTAAGATATAAGATCTATCTATCTGTCTAACTATCTATCTCTGTTAGGAATTCTACAGTTTTACACAAGTGAATATAGATGTGTACAAAATACTTGGATATTTTGTGAGATTGGTTCTCAACTACTGCAACCTATGAGTATCACAATAAAGCAAGTCAGTGAAGTTTTTGCTTATAAAAGTTATATTCTATATTAAGTAGTAGATTTTAACAGTGGACTTAGAATATTCAGTAAACCTTGTAAAGAGCAAGTGAGGCAGAGTAGATTTAGTATAATTCTTTTTTAAAAAATTTTTTTACTCTTTATAGTACATGTTTGCAGTGCATAAAGACTACTTTCCTTGTGGGGAGTTAGTATATGTCCATACACACCCTGATTCTTTTTTAATATCCCTGTGCTCTCCTCCTTTCTCCCTCCCTCCATCTCTTAATCCCTTTCCCATTTGCGAAAGATCTATCTCCCTATTTCCCTTAATCTACCAGTTCCATCCATGTTGCCCCAAATGACATGATTTTATTCTTTTTTATGGCAGAATAATTTTTATTGTATCTCTGTATATGTACACCCACACACATACACATATATTCACCATATTTAAAATATCCAGATTCCACCATGGCTGGTTAGAGAATGAGGTCTGTTGGAAACACTTGGAGGAGAGGCACTGGGTAATGCAAGTATTCTGAAATAGAGGGAAAACACACCCAGATACAGGGAGCTGTGGATCACATCCCTGGAGACAGGGAGAAGCAGGAGAGATTCAGTTGAGCTGGACAAGAGTGAGTGCTTTCCTATTGTTTCTCCAGTAACCAGAAGGATCTGAGACAGCATAAAATCCTGCCCACCTTCCACTATTACTGCAGATAATTAAGGCCCTATTCAGAGCCTGGAGATTGTGGGTTGGAAAGCAGAAGTCTGGAGACAAGGACCAGGGATGCATAAGGGCCTCAGGGTGAAGGAACAGAAAGCAGGCAGGACCTGGGTCAGAGGATTTCTTATGATGTTCTGGGTGGAACAGAGAAAGAACAAGGAGGAGACTATCTCAGGATTTGCACAGCAGTGAGGGGAGCAGGAATGGGAGGTCCCTGGTGAAAGAATTGGATGTTGGATAAGTTATATCACATATTCTTCTTCCCAAATTAATTGAGGTGGTCAGGTCTTGGGATAGAGACAAAGAGCTGCAGCTGGCCATGCCCAAAGCAAACTTTCAGTCAGGAGGTGGGTCCAGAGAGACCAGCAGCCCAGAGTGCTTCCTGGCTGGCAATTAAGCAGTACATAGAGGGGAAACTGGCTTGGCTGACTGCAATTGGATGCTAACACTGCAGCGTGAAGGCAGCTGTGTGAGCACTCTGGCTGTATGGTATAACAACAATCCAAGGGCTTTTTGTTTATTTCCTTCCTTGCTTGTCTGTTCTGGGTGTTCTCACCCACCCCCCATTTTCTCCAGTTATTGCTTTATTTATTTTACTTTTTATTTTCAAAGTTTTTTTTCCTCTTTATTCTGCTCTATCTTGATCTTTCTTTTCTTTTTAACTTTTCCTCCCTCTTCTTTTTTCTTTACTCTTCCTCACTTTCCCTACCTGCTTATCTACCCTCTCTTCTTCACAACCTTTCATGGGTCATAAGTATGTATTTATCAGGTGCCTCTATGTGTACAAAGAGATTAAGAATTGATCATGGGGCTGGGGGTTTATTAGCTCAGTGGTTTCACCGCCTGCCTCGCAAGCACAAGGGCATATATGCAAATATGCATGTACAGCCGTGTTGATAGCAGCACGATTTGCAATAGCTAAATCTTGGAAACAGCTGAAATGCCCATCAACCGATGAATGGATAATGAAGATGTGTGTGTGTGTGTGTGTGTGTGTGTGTGTTTAATACAATGGAGAGAGAATTACTCAGCCACAAAGGATAAACTTGAGATATTTCTATGTAAATGGATGCACCTTACTCTTTTTTTTTTTTGGTACTAGGGATCGAACTCGGGTCCTTGTGCTGGTGAGGCAGGTGACAGAACCACTGCCCTGCACACTTCAGAAATGTACAACTCAGGTGCAAATATTCTGTTGGGTTG